GCCAAAAATCCCGCTCGAGCTCCACCCGCTCGAGCGCAGAAAAACCTGCTCGAGCGTAGAAAACACCTCTGCAGAAGTTTTGCAGGGACACGAAGTACTGGGAGTGTGCAATACCCGCTCGAGCGCCAGAACACCTGCTCGAGCGCTAGACTAGAAACCAAACTCCGCTCAAGCGCAAAATGACCCGCTCGAGCGTAACACCAAAAACCTGGGCAACAAGGATATAGACCAAGGCTTAACCCACCTGTTCAACACAAGCCCATAAACATCCTAAAACTCAATCAAGTGGAATTAAAGGACGACAACAAGATAGATACCACTACCAACTTCACGGAACCGAGTCCGGAATACAACAGGACAGAAAAGGGACAACCGGGATCGCTATAGATAGACGCCCATAATCTGAAAGCATCGTGGAGAGGACGAATCTGTCTTAAAGACACATTGTTAAACACTGGACTTGATCAGAAAATTTGTTCAACAAATTAATTTGGTAAGTAATTAATTTACTTTTTTGTTTTATTATTTTTCCTGTTTCAGATTTTGATTTTGTTTTTATAACAAAATAAAAATCTGTTTTACTTATTTTATTTTATTTTATGGTTTGATTTTTGTAATCAAACAAACTCTCTCATTTTCTTTATTTCTTTAAGTACACAAACAAAATTTATTTTTTTAAATATAGTGAAGATTGTCCTACAATTATAATCAATAACAATGCACAATGGCTCCTATATATGGGAGAGTGATACAACCACATATGGATTCCTAAGTGATACAACTAAATATGGATTCCTAAATTGAATCTCTATCCATATATACATTAACAAATTAGGATTACAGACTAGTAGATCAGACATCAATGAATAATGATACAAATGCAAGTTATAAGGCTAAATGCTTTTTAATAAAATCACCTTAGCAAACTTGAAGAGTTCAAAATACAAGTTTTCCTGCCAAATTCAAATGCAAAAGTCAGAAGAAAAAAAATGTAGAGGGAATATGGTCAAGTGTGTCAAAGATGGGCATGCACATAAAACAAATAAAACAAATGGAAGTCCACGTAAGCTCAAACCAGAATCATCGTAGAGCACAATCTTCTCTAATGGAATGGCTGCTGTTGAAATGGAAGAAAGAAGTTGGTCATGATCTCGGATTGCTTCAACACATGATCGCGTAAAGATTTTGCATAAATCATGGAATTCTCAAAAGTAAAAAAATCATCTTGTACACTATGATAGGGTCCAGCGTTGAGAGAAATCAAGTTTCGACTATAGCGAAGTAGAAAACAAATGCCATGTTCAGTCATATTGCACAGAGAACATCGAAGTTCATGCAAAAGCTCACAATTTGATGACAAATAACCAGATACAAAATGATAATCAGTGTGTTTGGTTTTACTTTTCTGAATTCAATTTTTTAAAAATTTCATTTTTTATTTTTTGTATTTTTTTTGGTTTTAAGTGAATATTTTTAAAATTTTAAACAATTTTTTAAAACCTTTTTAGATGCACCTTACTTAAATGTATCTAAATAATAAAATATTTGTGAAAATATTTTAAAAAATTAATAAATATACAAAGTTACGAAAAATGTACTGAATTTTCATTTTTTTTTTATATTTTTAATATTTAGTGAATTTTTAAAACATTTTTTCACAAATATTATATTTTTAAGTGTATTTATGTTAGGCGTGTCTAAAAATTAAAAACAAATTGCTTAAAATATTAAAAAAATTCAGTGAAAATAAAAAAAATATGGAAAACAAAAAAGTAAAAGTAAAATTTTCTGTCAAGTGAATTCTGAAAACTAAAATCAAACAGAAATATCATTTCTTTATGTATACAATTAACAAAATACTCAGAGACGTAGGGGTCACCTGTCCCCATGAAATTTTGATAATTAGTACTACCCTATATGTAAAACTTATATATTATTTATCCCTAATAAAATTATAAATCCCTCCGTAAATCATGTAAAATTCTTTTTATTTTTAAAATTTTAAAATATTATTATATTCTCTTCCTCATTTTTATACACTCTAAACATGTTTGGTATGATATAATGAAATGAAGTGGAGATAGATTGAGAGTAAAAATGGAATACAAGATTGAATGGAATGGAATAGAATATCCATTCTCATTCCATTGTCTGGTTGTCAACGTGAAATGACATAGGAATATGATGATAATTCTCATTCTCATTAGGACTGTAAAAATTGCCAACGGCTCGAGGTCGGCCTGGCCCATTTACGCCCATTTAGGCCCAGGCCCAAGCCTAGCCCGAGACCCTGGGCTTGGCTTAGGCCTGACTTGCCTGTCTCGGCCCATTGACCTGTTTAAAGCCCACTCAAGACCCGGCCCACCCGAGGCCCAATGCATTTTTTAGTAGAAAATAATAAAATTTTAGTAGAAAGAGTTTTAAAAAAAATGTTCAAGTCTGCCCAAGCTTGAGCCTAGGCCCAGGCCCAGGCCCACCGGCTTGGCCCAAGCTCAACCCACCGGTCTGCCCCTGTGCTTGGGCTAGGGCCTAATTTTCTAGCTCGTGAGTCGGCCCGAAGTTTGATAGGAGTTTGCGAGGCCCGACATGGGCCGGGCCAAATTTACGCCCTTAATTCTCATGTTTAATTATCTATTAAACTCATGAAATGAAGTAAATTATTATTATGTATTTATTTTTTTAACAAGCTAGTAATAAATAAATTAAAATTTTATATAGATCATGATAATATTAAGAGTATGAAAGTGATAGCATGAGTCATAGTAGTGGTGTGGCGGCAATGGTTGTGGCATCGGTGGTGGTGATAGTAATGATAGTAGGATGGTGTTAGTAGTGGTGATAATAATTTGTTTAGATAAAAAAAATTATGTTATGCAAGAAAAAAGCAAGAAAAAATACGGCAATGTTATGTAATTTTTTTTGATAGAGTTATAATAATTTGTAATTAAAAAATAAAGTAACACATTTTGTAGTATGCTATGTATTTTTATGATAATATTATACATTTTATGGTTTGAAAATGTTTAAATAAAAAATTTATAATATTAACACAAAAATATATAGCATTACCACAAAATGTGTAATTGTATTTTTAAATTATAAATTATCGTGACTATATTAGAAAAATATATAATATATATTTTTTTATATCATGATTTTTTTTTCATTTAAAAAAATAAAAATAAAACAGAGTTTGAAATCGTAACCATAAAAAAGGGTTTTCTCCCATCTCGTGATCATCATCTTCGCTAACCATATACAAACTAATCTGTTTGAATTGCTTCTTGAAATCAAATCATGAAACACCGTCGTAAGGAACTCTCGGAAGATTGCTGGGAATTGATTCTGAATCGATTAGCAATCGATGACTTCAACTCCTTGCAATCCCCTTCTTTGGTCTGCAAGCAATTCCTCTCAATCACCGATCGAATTCGACTCAAATTGGAGGCCTTTGACAGATTATTCTACAGAAATAACTGTGATGCTTTATTCAGATCCCTTCAACGATTCAGAAACCTCAAAGAGATCGAGCTTCGTGATCCTATCTTCGGTGACAAAGTCGATGTTAACTACCCCATTCGAAGAATCGCTTCTTCAGGGTTAGATCTTTAATCCCTCTCTCTAACCTGTTTACGAAAACCCCCATTCCTGAAAACTTTCATGAAATTGGGTTCCACCATGAAGAACTTGAAGATTCTAAGATGTTGTCTACTCGAGTGTCTTCGCAATCACCACCTTGTTGCTATAGCTGATGCTTTACCATGGCTTGAAGAGCTCGATATCCAGTTTTCCTGCTATTATTGGAGCCCTGGGCGGGATTCAAATTCTAGAAGCGCAAAGTACATGGCAACTGACGCTGGGATCGAGGCATTGTCGCGTAAGCTTCGAGGGTTGCGTAAAATTGATATAACAGGGCAGGTTGGTTGTTCTGATCGATCTCTCATTGCATTGTCTTCAAATTGTGTGCTTTTGAATGAAATTCGTTGTTGTTCATGCAAAGTAACTGAACATGGCATTTGTTTTGTACTACGCCATAGTCGAAACTTGATTTGTTTCAAAGCGGGACGCTATTACAGTTCACCAGATGTTTCGTTCACTTTTGAGAATTCCATGATTTATGCAACATCTTTACGTGATCTTGAGTTAGACCCACATGGAAATCAAGACCGACTAATTTGTTCCATTGTAGCAGCAGGCATTCAATTAGAGAAGATCATATTGTACAATGATTCTGGTTTGAGCTTACATAGACTCTCTACTTTCTTTTGCGCATGCCCATCTTTGACACACTTGATGCTTTGTTCCATAGATATCCTCACCGACAATTCCACGAGGGATTTATGTCGATATCTTCCTAATCTTGTGTCCATAAAGTTTGACCAGTGTTCAAACTTAACCACTGCAATCTTCTTAATCCTTGCAAAAGAATGTCCTGTGCTTTCAGAGATTGAAATGCCACATATAAATCTACAAGTTGAAGATAATTTTGATATGGATTTGGAAAGGAATCATCAAATTAGATCCTTGGATTTGAGTTGTGCTTGTGTGAATAATGAATTCTTGAAAAAAATAGGGGTTGTTTGCCCCAACTTACAGACTCTCACTGTTACAGGACTTTGCACATTGACAGAAGGCATTGAGGAAATTTTGAAGTGCTGCTCGCAGATTAAGCATTTGACAGTGGACAGAACTAGAGAAATAGTCATCTTATTGGAACAGTTCAAAACTCGCAGCATTAAAATTGAACATCTTTTGGAACTAGAGGAGGTCAATGACTGATATGAGTTATCTCTGGCACTTGCATTCTGTATGTAAAGAGAGAAAGATAGTTCTAGGGCTGATCGGACTTGTGAATTGAGGAAGAAGAATTGTCAGGGCTATTTGTTAGAAAAAAAATGCCATATTCCCTGAGAGGGTAATTTTGGTGAAAATTGGGCCGAGCTATAAGATAGTCATAGTGGCCCACAATACAAAGGGCTGAGTAAAAAAGGCCGTAAAAGTTACTCCGGCCCAAGAGAGGTACAGAATTACTCCGGCCAAAGATACGTGTAAAGTTACTCCGGTCCGAAAACGACTTGGAGTTAGACCGGTCTTGGAGTTAGTTCGGTCTAAACACACCATGGGTTGTACAGGAGAGAACCGAGATAAGGAGGAGTAAAAAGAAGAACCGAACTAAGGATAGTTCGGTCTACTCTGTGGCTCAGCATAGCCAGTATTATTTCGGTCATGTGGTAGTTCGGCCATGGTAAAAACCATCTCACTTGGTTTAAGCAGTGAGGGGGTGTTAAAAGGATAATCATTATCTTTTAGGAGTATGAATCCTAGGAGGACTCTGCATGGAGGAGTAGAAGTCCTACTAGGATTGTGCCACATGAAACTTATAAAAGCTCACAAACATCACCTCGGAGAAGGTAACACACAACTTTGCTTTCTGAATACACAGAGCTTTGTCTATTTGTCAAGTTTGCTGACTTAGGCATCGGAGGGGTTTCCGGCACACACCCACTGGCTAGCTCACATTTGTGTTTTCAGGTGATAAAGCGACGTCGTACGGAGGAACGCAGACTTAGTCAACAGGATTATGTGAGAAGGTGTATTTCTTTCCCATACGATTGGTGCCGTCTGTGGGAAAAAACAGACAGAACAAAACCTCTTGACTAAGCTTCTCCTTTTTTTCGAACAATGGCACACATTGAGGAACTGCCGCAGTCCGCCGTCGACGGGCTAACTCTAGATAGGGGCGCAAGGCGTGAAGGATTACCCTCTGTCCCTCCCATGGCAGACTTGGAGCCCCAACGACATAACTCCAGGAGGGATACTAGGGGGAGGCGGAATAACAGCCCCCATCGCTCTCGTTCGCAAAGTCCTGACAGGCAAAGACGGAGGATTGATCCTCAAGCTCTGGAAGACCGCGTGAAAGAACATGATGAATTAATAAAAAAGATGGCGGCAGACATGGAAGCTTTGAAACGCCAGATGAAGAAAAAAGAAGTGGCGACAGGAGAGGGGCGCAACAACAAGACGCCCCCTCGCCACTCAGAAAGTCGTAGTAGGAATACCACACCCTCGCAAGGAGAAAGTAGAAGCCTCAGGACAGGCGACACTCAATCCTGGTCTTCTAGAACTCGTCACTCCAGGTCTGAGAGGACGAGATCTGAAAGATCATACACTGAAGGAAGCACGTATTGGACCTCGCATTCGCACCAAACCAGATCTAGACAGACAGAGTTACCCAGATCATCCGACTTACGAACCGTGCTCGAAGAAAAGGCACGATGCAAGGAGGATGCCAGGGCAAGGGATCCACACAGAGTTTCTGCCTTACAGCGGTTGGCTCCTCGGACGCATGGAAGCATCAAGGTTGGAATGCCAATACCGCGCCCTGCCTATGAACCAACGGACAAAGCATTAGCAAGGCTGCAGACTTCACCGTTTGTTCCGGCGATTGAAAACGCGCCCCTACCATCAGGCTTCCTTCAGCCCAAATTCACTACATATGAAGGGAAGACGGATCCCTACTCACACTTGAGCCACTTTCGCCAGGTCATGGCTGTGTACAGGCGAAACGAGGCCTTGATGTGTATACTCTTCCCATCAAGCCTTGGCGACCTAGGCTTGACTTGGTTTGAGAAACTTCCAGAGGGCAGCATAGCCTCCTGGGCACAACTGGCAGAAGCGTTCGTAACAAGGTTCCGAACAAACACTAAAACCCCGGTGGAGATCGACTAGCTGCTCTCCATCGACATGGGAGATAAAGAGACCCTAAGATCCTACAACAGTCGCTACTGGGAGACTTTCAATCAGATTGGGGACTGCCCCACCAATCTCGCCATTGCACAATATAAGAGAGGCCTTCCAGTTGGGAACAGACTAAGGGACTCGATCACCATGACGCCACCCCTCACCATGGAAGCCCTGATGGAAAGAGTGCATCAGCACATCAGGGTAGAAGAGGATGGCGCACGTGCCAAAGCAAAATCAAGTGCGACCACGGTACCAGAAAAGAAAACCTCAGCAAAGGCCAATGCAGTAGATCGTCAGAACAGAAACGGACGTGGCAGACGAGACAACGGAGAAGACCCAGATAAAAGATGGTTAAGAATCCGCACTGCCATAACAACGGTGTTCAAAAAACCGATATTTCAGATTCTAAGCGAAATAAGAGACGAGCCTTTCGTCAAGTGGCCAGCCAAGCTGGGAGAAGCTCAGAAGGACTATGACGAAAGATCACGGTGCACCTTCCACAAAGAAAAGGGGCACCGCACTGAGAACTGCACACCATTGAGGCAGCACCTGGAGGAGTTGGTGGCAGCAGGTCACCTGGATAAATACATTGAAGGAGGGACACAGCTAGCCCCCCAGGACCATAATAACCCCAATGGGATGCCAATCGACGCCCCGCCTCAAGGCATTATCAATGTAATACATGGAGTTTTTGAACCTGAGCGTGTATGCGAGTTTAGGGGATCAATCAAAAAGGCTGAGCACTTTAGCGAGGTACAAAGTGCCCAACCTGCTATCAAGAAGGGAAAAACAGAGGCAACAAACGTCATGTCTTTCTCTGATAAAGACTTGGATCGAATATACTGTCCTCACAATGATGCCCTAGTCGTCACTCTCCGAGTCAAGGATTTTGACGTCAAGCGGATTCTGATTGACCAGGGTAGTTCATGTGAAATCACGTACTATGAAACATTTAAACAATTAAAACTGCAAGACAAAGACTTGGCGCCTGCCGTATCTCCGCTAATTGGATTCAACTCCATGCCAGAATGGCCCGTCGGCAAGATAATTTTTCCAGTCAGAGCAGGGAGCGTAACGAAACAGGTGGAGTTCTGGGTATTGAAGGTCCCCTCCGCTTACAACATCATCTTGGGCAGAACATGGCTGCATGCCATGCGATTGGTGGCGTCATCCTACCACCAAGTAATGCAGTTCCCCAACGACACCAGTATAATTGAAGAAGTCTATGGAGATCAGATCATGTCAAAACAATGCTTCGTCACGGTGAATGGCAGCCGCGCTGCCAAAGGATACGTTCATTCGGTGGAAGAACCTGAAAGTAATGAGCTATTCGCAGATGTCGGCAAAGCGGCGGATCAGAAAGTAGTAGAGGACTTAGTAGAGGTAAAAATAGATGAAAAGAACCCGGATAAGTTCTTTTTGCTCGGTTTGTCGTTGTCCAACACTGAGAGATTAGAGGTCTTAGAATTCTTAACCTCAAACATCGAAGTGTTC